TATCTACATGATGCAGTAGCTCCTGATGATGAATTGAAATGATGTCTATCTGACTACATGATGCAGTAGCTCCTGATAATGGAGAGAGGTGATGACTATCTAACTACATGATGCAGTAGCTACTGATGATGAACAGAGGTGGAGACTATCTGACTACATGATGCAGTAGCTCCTGATTATGAACAGAGGTGATGACTATCTAACTACATGATGCAGGAGCTCCTGATGATGAACAGAGGTGATGACTATCTAACTACATGATGCAGTAGCTCCTGATGATGAATAGAGGCGATGACTATCTAACTACATGATTCAGTAGCTCCTGATGATGAATAGAGGTGATGACTATCTAACTACATGATGCAGTAGCTCCTGATGATGAATATAGGTGATATCTATCTAACTACATGATGCAGTAGCTCCTGATGATGTATATAGGTGATGTCTATCTGACAACATGATGCAGTAGCTACTGATGATGAACAGAGGTGATGACTATCTAACTACATGATGCAGTAGCTACTGATGATGAACAGAGGTGATGACTGTCTGACTACAAGATGCAGTAGCTCCTGATGATGAAGAGAGGTGATGACTATCTAACTACATGATGCAGTAGCTCCTGATGATGAATAGAGGTGATGACTATCTAACTACATGATGCAGAAGCTCCTGTTGATAAATAGAGTTGATGACTATCTAACTATATGATGCAGTAAATTTTGAGGATGAATAGAGGTGATGTCTATCTAACTACAAGATGAATAGAAAGAGGTGATGACTATCTAACTACATGATGCAGTAAATGATGATGATGAACAGAGGTGATGTCTATCTAACCACATGATGCAGTAAATCTTGATGATGAATAGAGGTGATGTCTATCTAACTACAAGATGAATAGAAAGAGGTGATGTCTATCTAACTATATGATGCAATAAATTTTGAGGATGAATAGAGGTGATGACTATCTAACTACATGATGCAGTAGCTCCTGTTGATGAAGAGAGGTGATGACTTTGTAACCAGATGATGCAGTAAATCTTCATGATTAATAGAGGTGATGTCTATCTAACTATATGATGCAGTAAATCTTGAGGATGAATATAGGTGATGACTATCTGACTACATGATGCAGTAGCTCCTGATGATGAATATAGGTGATGTCTATCTAACTTCATGATGCAGTAGCTACTGATGATGAAGAGAGGTGATGACTACCTTACTACATGATGCAGTAGCTCCTGATGATGAACAAAGGTGATGACTATCTAACTACATGATGCAGTAGCTCCTAATGATGAATAGAGGTGATGACTATCTAACTAGATGATGCAGTAGCTCCTGATGAAGAATATAGGTGATGTCTATCTGACAACATGATGCAGTAGCTACTGATGATGGAGAGAGGTGATGACTATCTAACTACTTGATGCAGTACCTTCTGATGATGAATGGAAATGATGTCTATCTGACTACATGATGCAGTAGGTTCTTCATGATGAACAGAGGTGATGACTATCTAACTACATGATGCAGTAGCTCCTGATGATGAACAGAGGTGATGACTATCTAACTACATGATGCAGTAGCTCCTGATGATCAAAAGAGGTGATGATAATCTAACTACATGATGCAGTAGCTCCTGATGATCAATATAGGTGATGTATATCTGACAACATGATGCAGTTGCTCCTGATGTTGAACAGAGGTGATGACTATCTAACTACATGATGCAGTAGCTCCTGACGATGAACAGAGGTGTTGACTATCTGACTACATGATTCAGTAGCTCCTGATGATGAATAGAGGTGATGCCTATCTATCTACATGATGCAGTATCTCCTGATGATGAATTGAAATGATGTCTATCTGACTACATGATGCAGTAGCTCCCGATAATGGAGAGAGGTGATGACTATCTAACTACATGATGCAGTAGCTCCTGATAATGAATATAGGTGATGTCTATCTGACAACATGATGCAGTAGCTACTGATGATGAACAGAGGTGATGACTATCTAACTACATGATGCAGTAGCTACTGATGATGAACAGAGGTGATGACTGTCTGACTACAAGATGCAGTAGCTCCTGATGATGAAGAGAGGTGATGACTATCTAACTACATGATTCAGTAGCTCCTGATGATGAATAGAGGTGATGACTATCTAACTACATGATGCAGTAGCTCCTGATGATGAATATAGGTGATATCTATCTAACTACATGATGCAGTAGCTCCTGATGATGACCTAGAGGTGATGACTATCTAACAACATGATGCAGTAGCTACTGATGATGAACAGAGGTGATGACTATCTAACTAGATGATGCAGTAGCTCCTAATGAAAAATATAGGTGATGTTTATCTGACAACATGATGCAGTAGCTACTGATGATGGAGAGAGGTGATGACTATCTAACTACATGATGCAGTAGCTTCTGATGATGAATGGAAATGATGTCTATCTGACTACATGATGCAGTAGCTCCTGATGGTGAACAAAGGTGATGACGATCTAACTACATGATGCAGTAGCTCCTGATGATGAACAGAGGTGATGACTATCTAACTACATGATGCAGTAGCTCCTGATGGTGAACAGAGGTGATGACTATCTAACTACATGATGCAGTAGCTCCTGATGATGAATATAGGTGATGTCTATCTAACTACATGATGCAGTAGCTCCTGATGATGACCTAGAGGTGATGACTATCTAACTACATGATGCAGTAGCTCCTGATGATGAATATAGGTGATGTCTATCTAACTTCATGATGCAGTAGCTACTGATGATGAACAGAGGTGATGACTACCTTACTACATGATGCAGTAGCTCCTGATGATGAACAAAGGTGATGACTATCTAACTACATGATGCAGGAGCTCCTGATGATGAACAGAGGTGATGACTATCTAACTACATGATGCAGTAGCTCCTGATGATGAATAGAGGTGATGACTATCTAACTACATGATGCAGTAGCTCCTGATGATGAATATAGGTGATGTCTATCTGACAACATGATGCAGTAGCTACTGATGATGAACAGAGGTGATGACTATCTAACTACATGATGCAGTAGCTCCTGATGATGAATAGAGGTGATGACTATCTAACTAGATGATGCAGTAGCTCCTGATGAAGAATATAGGTGATGTCTATCTGACAACATGATGCAGTAGCTACTGATGATGGAGAGAGGTGATGACTATCTAACTACTTGATGCAGTACCTTCTGATGATGAATGGAAATGATGTCTATCTGACTACATGATGCAGTAGCTCCTGATGATGAACAGAGGTGATGACTATCTAACTACATGATGCAGTAGCTCCTGATGATGAACAGAGGTGATGACTATCTAACTACATGATGCAGTAGCTCCTGATGATGAAACGAGGTGATGATAATCTAACTACATGATGCAGTAGCTCCTGATGATCAATATAGGTGATGTATATCTGACAACATGATGCAGTTGCTCCTGATGTTGAACAGAGTTGATGACTATCTAACTTCATGATGCAGTAGCTCCTGACGATGAACAGAGGTGTTGACTATCTGACTACATGATTCAGTAGCTCCTGATGATGAATAGAGGTGATGCCTATCTATCTACATGATGCAGTAGCTCCTGATGATGAATTGAAATGATGTCTATCTGACTACATGATGCAGTAGCTCCTGATAATGGAGAGAGGTGATGACTATCTAACTACATGATGCAGTAGCTACTGATGATGAACAGAGGTGGAGACTATCTGACTACATGATGCAGTAGCTCCTGATTATGAACAGAGGTGATGACTATCTAACTACATGATGCAGGAGCTCCTGATGATGAACAGAGGTGATGACTATCTAACTACATGATGCAGTAGCTCCTGATGATGAATAGAGGCGATGACTATCTAACTACATGATTCAGTAGCTCCTGATGATGAATAGAGGTGATGACTATCTAACTACATGATGCAGTAGCTCCTGATGATGAATATAGGTGATATCTATCTAACTACATGATGCAGTAGCTCCTGATGATGTATATAGGTGATGTCTATCTGACAACATGATGCAGTAGCTACTGATGATGAACAGAGGTGATGACTATCTAACTACATGATGCAGTAGCTACTGATGATGAACAGAGGTGATGACTGTCTGACTACAAGATGCAGTAGCTCCTGATGATGAAGAGAGGTGATGACTATCTAACTACATGATGCAGTAGCTCCTGATGATGAATAGAGGTGATGACTATCTAACTACATGATGCAGAAGCTCCTGTTGATAAATAGAGTTGATGACTATCTAACTATATGATGCAGTAAATTTTGAGGATGAATAGAGGTGATGTCTATCTAACTACAAGATGAATAGAAAGAGGTGATGACTATCTAACTACATGATGCAGTAAATGATGATGATGAACAGAGGTGATGTCTATCTAACCACATGATGCAGTAAATCTTGATGATGAATAGAGGTGATGTCTATCTAACTACAAGATGAATAGAAAGAGGTGATGTCTATCTAACTATATGATGCAATAAATTTTGAGGATGAATAGAGGTGATGACTATCTAACTACATGATGCAGTAGCTCCTGTTGATGAAGAGAGGTGATGACTTTGTAACCAGATGATGCAGTAAATCTTCATGATTAATAGAGGTGATGTCTATCTAACTATATGATGCAGTAAATCTTGAGGATGAATATAGGTGATGACTATCTGACTACATGATGCAGTAGCTCCTGATGATGGAGAGAGGTGATGCCTATCTAACTACATGATGCAGTAGCTCCTGATGATGAACAGAGGTGATGACTATCTAACTACATGATGCAGTAGCTACTGATGATGAATAGAGGTGATGACTATCTAACTACATGATGCAGTAGCTCCTGATGATGAACAGAGGTGATGACTATCTAACTACATGATGCAGTAAATCATGATGATGAATAGTCATAGGGATGTATCACCATGTTTGTCATTCGTGTAATCGGGGAACACCATATCCTTGGGTGATGTCTTCCCAGCGCCGAATACTGAAACAAATACATGCATGGATAAGGCCGTAGGAAGATCATCGGGTAATTTACACATTATGTGATACACAATCCTTGACAAAGAGGGCGGCTTAGTTGAAAACTTGATCTGTATCTTTTATAATAACCTGTGGATGTCCTAACTGATATGTTGTTACATAGACGATTAATTATGTAATGTACGTAATTATTGTCAGTGCTTTAGATACTTACGTATCGTCTCCTTGACGACATAAACCGGGTCGTCGTTGACAACGCGATCTTCTGCCGTCAACAGTCCGAAGTCACTGACAGAGCGCAGCAGAGAGCTAACTGTTGATTGGTTGAGCTGTGGCAACACAGAGAATATTCTCAACGCATTGTTTTAAATAACAGTAGCTATCTTGTCCGTTTAGTATGGCTAATGATCTTTTTGGCACTATAGTTTATATTGCATGGTATAAAAAGAGGTTACTACAGTGTGCACATCATACCTGAGATTCGCTAACAATGCACTGTGGACATTAACTCACCGCCTCCTTCAGCACTATGCTCCACTCCTGTAGATTACCCTTGGCTAGGGCACTGTTCACTATGTTAATGAAGGACTGGAAAAACAAGTACCGACATGATGAATGTATGAAATAAGGCATGGACACATTTCAAAAATATGTCACAATGTCTAAATGTAAACTTGATTGGAAACGTTTTTGGCTAGTGTGAAATAAAGTAGGAGTTTTCACTAAAGTCTGGACCTTTATTACAGACAAACTGGAATATCAAGCACAACATGATATGCATATTTAATGGTTCTGAGTCTACATCCTTTACATATTCCGTATTTAGTTTATTGCCTTTCCCCTTACTCTTGTTTATTCGAAATGGCACCTTTAAATCAACTGTAAATATTCACAGAATGGTTGTTCTTGTAACCGGGTTTCTGGGTGTTTCTAGTTTACCGAGCCTGGCTGCTTTGCGCATTTGTCGTGACAGTGGATGGTTTAAGTTTCTCAGCACGATGTTCGATAAACCATTTGTCGCAAGATTTAGGCATGTAAAACAACTCGTCGTCATTCTTCAAGAAACTGATCATGAGCATGTTTTCTAGTATACAAACAGTATCTATGACAGGCACATTCAACTACGATACCATTTGTCTGTTAACCTTTAAGCAGTTTGTCAACACTATGTAAACGTTGTTCATTTTCAACATCAATATGATCAAAAGAACCCATGTTTCCATATTTGTATAAACACCAGTTCACGTGCACCAGTGACAAAGTACCGTTTCCGGTTGTCTAATTTGGATACTCATGTCAATGGGGCATGCCATACCTGGCAGACAGTGTGAGTATGGCAAGATATAGTGTGCACAGGCCAGTCTCGCCGCACCCTACCTCACGACCATCATCCCCCAGTTTCCGCCTGGTGACCTTCACAAGAATGATGATGTCCGAGATGGAAGACACGATGCCGCCAATGTCGCCGCCGGTCAGATTCAGCTCCGTTGCTGCCGTGTCCAGCTGTACCAGGACCGGTGTGATGTAGCTGGCGGACAGCGCCCCTGTCTTTATCTTACCCAGCTGCAAGTACACGTGCAAGTATGTGCGTGTCAGAAAACTCTCTATATATTTAATTTTCGATTCTGGGTATTCGTTTTATTGTGATGGTTATTGTCCCTTACACTGTTATGTACTGTGTTGGTGACTAGGGTGAGTGGTGTGTAACTGTAACACATCTATAGTGTAAGCCTGTGTGTGGCAAATTCACACTGTAACTGTATCATAATATGTACCTATGTTGTTTATGTGACTGTATCAAAGAATAAACCCATGTGCTACTGGGGTTGGCTGAATGGTTCTGAGGGACGGACCATTTCCATTAAATTGTTCCTGAAATTTCTTCAAAAAAGAATTATGCTTCAGAATGGTGGAAAAAACATTCTGCCACAAAATAACATTGCTAAAGGGTGATTTTCTTAAATAAACGAATATCTGGATTTGTAGCTGTAGCTGAAAAAAACCCTATTCTTGATTTAAGGTCGGTCTCAAAGCCCAAAGATTATGTACTGATGGTGTTAGTTGCTATTTAGTTTCAACGTAATCCCCTCTGAGGTCCACACACTTCTGTAAACAATACTGATGTGACGGGATCCCACTGGTGTAGAAGGCTTCCTCGTGGTGGTGTAAAAATGTCCTCCTCAGCAGAAATGACGTCATCATCATTTGTGCAGTGCTTGCAAGACAGTCCTTTTTTTCACGTTTGGGAAGTGGGGGAAATCTGAAGGTGCCACATCTGACGAATACGGAACCCAGTCAGGCATTACAGCCATGGCGGGAACAGACGTGGTATACTAACATATAGTCTCTGAAATGAACATATCGTACAGAAAAAACAGTTGCTCAGTTATCTTAATAAAAATATAATAAAAAGGGAGCCCAGTGATTCTCTTCATTTTCAGATACTGCAGTAATCTAGACTTGCCAAACATTATAGACTTGCATGGGCTGTAGTTGATATATTTGTATCAGGGTCTGTAAGACAGACTACAGACGTGGGTACAGGTGCATTTTCCGGTGGAACAATACACATTTAGTCAGTTTTCCACAACGTTCAGCCTGGACACTCTCACGCTCCTTATATTGGCCATTTATGGTATGGCCTTTGGGGAGGTAGTCCTCGAGTGGGATTCCTTTATGGCTTATGTCAGGAGTACTGCTGTGCGGCTTCAGGGAACAAACACTTATTTTTTATGCAACTTGTGTGAGTGGCGAGTGATACCGCTAGCGAAGGACATGCTCACCCTATTCGCGAACACCTTGTGTAATCACTGATTTTCAGTGGTCCATTCATATATTTTTCACCGCTACTTAGCCTTGCATGCCCAATGGAATCTGTTTTGTTAGATAATCGAGACCGAGTTTTCTATGGTGTTGACGTTTTATTTTATATTTGGGATCTCAGAAAACCAGAGCTATGACCTTGTCAGCTGATGAAACTGACTTTGCCTTCTTCGGAGAAACGGATGTTTGATGTTTGATGTTGACGATTGATGCATGCTTCTTTCTGAAAGTGGTGAACCACAGACTCATCCCTGGTTAAGTAACTGCTCAACACAGTCAGCTGTGTCTCCTTCAAAACGACAGAAATTCTCACGAGAGGTAATAAACATAGAACATTTCTGGTCAGGAGTCCGATGTGATGAAACCCAGTGTGATAAAACCTTTGTCATGCTCAGTTCATTCCTCAAAATATGTTAACTCTCTTATGGGTGATGCCTATTGTATCGGCTAGGTGACGAGTGGTGAGTCATCGACCACCTCTGGTAATGTGTGTAGCTGTACTAGTGCTGTGTGTACATCAACTATATAACAATGTCTTGAGTGTGTTACTGTATTAGTGTTTATACCTTTTGCTGCGTGTGCGTGCGTGCGTGCGTGCGTGCGTGTGACGGGATCATAACTGACCGTTCAGCTAAACCAGAATGTAAACCCGTGTAGTGTCTGAATAGGTGAATGGTGATGTTGTACCTCGCGGTCCACGTGGGATATCCTGTGGCTGACACAGCGGTAGTAGTTGGGGTAGAACCACGTGGAGACATCACTGCACGACCGATTGGCTCTCCCTGTAATACACAATGACATCCACCTCAGTATCACAGGGCAGTCACCAAATGGATTGTAAAAGAAAACCATCCGCGTTTATTTAAGATTGATGTGTACTGATGATACACATACTTCATAATGAGTTCTCTCTGAGATACAGAAAATCTCCTACCAGAATAGCCAACAGGACACGGTGCAACTCGGGACTTGCCGGCAGGTGTCCATGGCCACTTGTACTTCCTGATGTCCACAGACACCGGGCAGCCGTGGTCATCTGTATACACATAGAAACACTGCTTGTTACTCACGCATGCTGCACATTCAATGTGACACGTTGTTGTAGTGTGGGAGAACCCTGTTACTCACATTTATCTGTGGTATACTCTTGTCTGTCTCCAGGTATACTCGAATCTATATCTACGTATACACACATCTAGCTGTGGTATACTCCGTCCATCTCCAGGTATACTCGAAACTGATCTACGTATATATATATATGTAGAGGTATTCCCACTTTTATATGTAGGCATACCCAGTTCTATACATATATCTAGGTACATACAAACATACCTATTAATTCAGAAATCTAGGTTTTGGTTGCAATAATAAACGATGCGTTGTAGGATGTTGCTGCCAGTTAAAATATGCATGTACCATTCCACTGAACAATTCAAGTACTGTAGGGCGGAGGGGTAGCCTAGTGGTTAAAGCACTCACTCAATACGCCGAAAACATGGGTTTTTCACGCGATATCACACCTCTATAATTACTGATAATTCACATGTATTTGCTGTTCCTTCGAACAGGTCATCAAATTCTGCATTTTCTCTTGAACGTCCATCTGTCACTCTCTAGAAGGTCATGTACATTCCCCGTTTGGTTTATAGTTTTTTGCCAGGACGAGACACTGGAGACAGACAACCTACCGTTAGACAGGACCTTGACCTCCGCCGTCACAGTGCACTCCGTGCTGTTGAGGCCACATCCTATGACGACATCACCGCTAACGTTGGTCAGTCTAATTGTCTCCTCTCCAAAACCATGGTAGTGGATACCTTTGTTGTCTGCAATAAGTATGGCAGCTTTGTGTGTTGCATCTTCATAATCTAACCATGCCATGGTCCATGTAAACATGTAGACAAATTAAGGAGGTTGTCAGCTTTTTTTGTTACATATACATCCTCAATGTCAGCTATATGTGTTACATATACATGCAGTAGGGTGGTGTCAGCTATATGTGATACATATACATACAGTTGGGTGGTGTCAGCTATATGTGTTACATATACATACAGTTGGGTGGTGTCAGCTATATGTGTTACATATACATACAGTTGGGTGATGTCAGCTATATGTGTTACATATACATACAGTTGGGTGATGTCAGCTGTATGTGTTACATTTACATACACTAGGGTGGTGTCAGCTATATGTGTTACATATACATACAGCTGGGTGGTGTCAGCTATATGTGTTACATATACATACAGCTGGGTGATGTCAGCTATATGTGTTACATATACATACAGTTTGGTGATGTCAGCTGTATGTGTTACATATACATACACTAGGGTGGCGTCAGCTATATGTGTTACATATACATACAGTTGGGTGATGTCAGCTATAGATGTTACATATACATACAGTTGGGTGGTGTCAGCTATATGTGTTACATATACATACAGTTGGGTGGTGTCAGCTATATGTGTTACATATACATATGGTTGGGTGATGTCAGCTATATGTGTTACATATACATACAGTTGGGTGATGTCAGCTATATGTTTTACAAATACATATAGTTGGGTGGTGTCAGCTATATGTGTTACATATACATATAGTTGGGTGGTGTCAGCTATATGTGTTACATATACATACACTAGGGTGGTGTCAGCTATATGTGTTACATATACATATAGTTGGGTGGTGTCAGCTATATGTGTTACATATACATACACTAGGGTGGTGTCAGCTATATGTGTTACATATACATACAGTTGGGTGATGTCAGCTGTATGTGTTACATATACATACACTAGGGTGGTGTCAGATATATGTGTTACATATACATACAGTTTGGTGGTGTCAGCTATATGTGTTACATATACATACACTAGGGTGGTGTCAGCTGTATGTGTTACATATACATACAGTAGGGTGGTGTCAGCTATATGTGTTACATATACATACAGTTGGGTGGTGTCAGCTATATGTGTTACATATACATACAGTAGGGTGGTGTCAGCTATATGTGTTACATATACATATGGTTGGGTGGTGTCAGCTATATGTGTTACATATACATACACTAGGGTGGTGTCAGCTATATGTGTTACATATACATACAGTAGGTTGGTGTCAGCTGTATGTGTTACATATACATACAGTTGGGTGATGTCAGCTATATGTGGTACATATACATACAGTTGGGTGATGTCAGCTATATGTTTTACATATACATACAGTTGGGTGATGTCAGCTATATGTGGTACATATACATACAGTTGGGTGATGTCAGCTATATGTTTTACATATACATACAGTTGGGTGATGTCAGCTATATGTTTTACATATACATACAGTAGGGTGGTGTCAGCTATATGTGTTACATATACATACACTAGGGTGGTATCAGCTGTATGTGTTACATATACATACAGTAGGTTGGTGTCAGCTGTATGTGTTACATATACATACACTAGGGTGGTGTCAGCTGTATGTGTTACATATACATACAGTAGGTTGGTGTCAGCTATATGTGTTACACATACATACAGTAGGTTGGTGTCAGCTATATGTGTTACATATACATACACTAGGGTGGTTTCAGCTATATGTGTTACATATACATACAGTTGGGTGATGTCAGCTATATGTGTCACATATACATACAGCTGGGTGGTGTCAGCTATATGTGTTACATATACATACACTGGGGTGGTGTCAGCTATATGTGTTACATATACATACAGTTGGGTGATGTCAGCTATATGTGTTACATATACATACAGTTGGGTGATGTCAGCTATATGTGTTACATATACACACAGTTTGGTGATGTCAGCTGTATGTGTTACATATACATACAGTTGGGTGATGTCAGCTATATGTGTTACATATACATACAGTTGGGTGATGTCAGCTGTATGTGTTACATATACATACAGTTGGGTGATGTCAGCTATATGTGTTACATATACATACACTAGGGTGGTGTCAGTTATATGTGTTACATATACATACAGTTGGGTGATGTCAGCTATATGTGTTACATATACATACACTAGGGTGGTGTCAGATATATGTGTTACATATACATACAGTAGGTTGGTGTCAGCTGTATGTGTTACATATACATACAGTTGGGTGATGTCAGCTATATGTGTTACATATACATACACAGGGTGGTGTCAGCTATATGAGTTACATATACATACACTAGGGTGGTGTCAGCTATATGTGTTCCATATACATACAGTTGGGTGATGTCAGCTGTATGTGTTACATAGACATACACTAGGGTGGTGTCAGCTATATGTGTTACATATACATACAGTTGGGTGGTGTCAGCTATATGTGTTACATATACATACAGTTGGGTGGTGTCAGCTATATGTGTTACATATACATATGGTTGGGTGATGTCAGCTATATGAGTTACATATACATACACAGGGTGGTGTCAGCTATATGTGTTACATATACATACAGTTGGGTGATGTCAGCTATATGTATTACATATACATACACTAGGGCTGTGTCAGCTATATGTGTTACATATACATACAGTTGGGTGATGTCAGCTATATGTTTTACATATACATACAGAAGGGTGGTGTCAGCTATATGTGTTACATATACATACAGTTGGGTGATGTCAGCTATATGTGTTACATATACATACACAGGGTGGTGTCAGCTGTATGTGTTACATATACATACAGTTGGGTGATGTCAGCTGTATGTGTTACATATACATACACTAGGGTGGTGTCCGCTATATGTGTTACATATACATGCAGTAGGATGGTGTCAGCTTACTTTATTAACATAATTCGTCAAGTGGTGTCAGCTTTCTTTGTTATATATACATATCTTAGGGTGGTGTCAGCTATATATCTTCTTTCAATCTATGCTTTGTCTGTTTGGTTGATGTCAAGTTTCTTCGTTATATGTACATACAGTAGGGTGATGTCATTTTTATTTGTTTTATATACATATCGTAAGGTGGTGTCAGCTTTCTTTGTTATATATACATGTCATAAGGCGGGGTGAGCTCTATGTGTTACATATGTCGTAGGGTGGTGTTAGCTGTATATCATCTTTCAATCTATGCTTTGTTTGTTACTTTAATGTTAACTTTCTCTGTTATATGTATACAGTAAGGTGATGTCAGTCCTTTTGCTTGTACATGCCCTTAGATGAATTCAGCTTTCTGTGTTAGATGTACATATAGTGGGGTGATGTCAGCCTCCTATGCTACATGTATATATACACACTTGCATTGCTGAGCCCTCGATGACACCACTTGAGTTTGATGCCTGCTTTATAGTAGGGGTTGGTCTTGTCGAGGTTGACAATCCTGCAGGTGAGGTCCACCTGGTCCCCGGAATACACAGTGGATAGTTGTGGCTGGATCTCGATGTCAGGATTGTTGAAGATTGTCAGGTTGACGGCGTGGCCATACTTCTCTCGTCCTGACGTGACGACCATCATGTAGGTACCTAGAACACCACGGTATCCGTGTCAGGTCTGTCAAGTACAAACAAACTACAACCATCTTCCCCAACACAGACAACATAAATTATACATTCGTATGGCAAGCTACGGTCAGTTCCCACAACAGTCAACATCAATTCTACATTTGGATGACAAGATATCAAGATAATTTCTCGTCGACTTTCAGCTGTCAATCCCTAAGAAACAGGTTTAGTTCTGTGACAGCCATGTTATCTGGTGGCGACATAGGACAGTCTCACCCGCGTCGTCACTCTGTATTCTGTCAAACACTAGATGCGTTTCCAAACTCCGACAATCTCGATCTTCGCAGGTCTTCATGCTGTGGACTCGGCCGCGGCCATTCGGCATGGACGTGTGACCCTTGTACCATTCTACCTGCGCGGGTCTGGTAGAGTTGATGCTGAGTTGGCAGGACAAGCGTACATCCTCATCCCCTATAGCAGCGTTCTCCTGGTAGGAACAATCCCCCCTCACCGTGGCTGAAACCGGATCATGTGATAGACAAACTGAAGCATATCAAGTCATACATCGTCACATTCTGATATGGATCTAAAGGGTTTGCGATATAACAGGTTCAGTCAATGTCGTTTGTTAGGGATTGTTTACATATTCTGCAGTACGAAAGATGCATGTAGCGACAGAGGCCAGTTACCTGTGATAAAGGCCTCCATGGGAGACCACCAACACGACTTGCCGCAAGGGAAGTTGCAGCACCGGCCCATGTTCAAACAGTCGGCATCGGAGTGGCAGGGGTAGTGACAACGGAATTGTCGGGGGTCGGAGGGGGCCGGGCAGATGACGGCCTTCACTAAACAAACACGCCACTTCATACAAGATACTCTACATGTCCATAGGATGAATACTTTCATAATGATCAATATTTTCAGCTATTGTTACTGCAGCGTTTATTTCTGCAGGCAGCATTTCATGACAATGTTTGATTTTGATCGTCCTAGTCATTGTTGGGCATGTATCTGTTGTTTATTATAAACAGCTAACGGTTGCTAATGATTATTGTGGTGACCTGTCACGAACATTCACTAACCCTTCTCATACTTGATAGGCGGGTAGCAAGTCTGGCCGCAGTCTGTGTGACTCTGACAGCACTTTCTTCCCCCCGGGCAGTCACTGTCTGACCAGCACCCATTGTAGCAGCTGGTCGACTGGATCTCGGAGCGGGCTGGGCAGTTCAGCATGTCTACAGAAACACACATATAGGGTACAAGTGCAGCATTGGGGCAGGGGCTGTACACGGGTCTATACATACATCCATCAACGAGACGTCGACGTCGGTGTGGAATGCAACATCAGGTACACTGGTCACTTGCTTTGCTGACGGAGCTTTCTTGATATGTATTGTATATATGACATTTACATGCGCTACAGACATAGACATGTGGTTATAATAGACAGTCGGCATGGAATAAACAATGGTTATTTTACTCTATATCGTGGCGGGCGGACTACCAGCCCAACAGTTCGTCTGGTGACTCATTACTGTCGAAGTTTGTCAATGTTTGTCGCCTGCATCAGTTTACCTCGCTTGTACTGCACCAACGACCAGCACGAGTAGGTGTGGTCAATGGCGCAGCACTTGCCGTCGCTGGTGCAGTCACGGTCGGAGCGGCATTGGTGGCCACGCACGTCCTTGGCCACAGGACACTCCCACGACACTGTAATAAATATATGTATCAACATGCCCTCTGCATAAAAAGTGTAGTTAATGCATTATATTCATAAAATATTTATCATAGTATACATTATCACAGATATCAGTCGTCCAGCATAAGCTAAATAAGAGATTGTGGGCGGGATCGATCTTCTCTTGTGTTGCTTGACACATGTCCGTGTCACTCGTATCTCTGAACATAGTGAGAGAGAGATGGAAATCACGTGCAGTATTGGTGTGAGTCTCACAAACCACGAGATATGAAATCTGTACAGGAATAATGCAAAGTCGTGTTAAATGTGGGTGAAACTGACATTAAAACCTGTTACCTGGTTCATCAATGACAACACACACACAGGTCAGGGGGGCAGGTGGGGTGACAGGTGGAAGTGTAGACAAACATCTTATTATTCTAGACACTCGCTAACATATATGAAAACGGTCTCTGTGCTGATGCGGACGACCACACTGATAACAGTTGGAGCTAGTATTGAAGCAGAGGATTCTCTGGTTTTGTTTTTCCTGATTGGTTGTTTTGAGTTAGTGTGTCAGTGTTAATGATATACAATTGTTTTCATTGTTGTTCTTTGAAGGCTTCTTTTATATGTTTTGATTTATAATGTACAGTTACTATAGAACGCAATACAGAGTTGCCTTTACTTAGGTTTTCCGTCCAAATAAGAATCTTACAAATCGAATATAGCCTTCCATGTTTGTTATACTAGGCCTTTCGGTACAATCAGCTCTACGTATCTGGATGCTACTAGATCTACTAAGTAATATAATAACTGTTTGGTTGACATTCTGGAAGTCGGTGAGTAAATAGGAAAACCAACAACTTCATGGATAACAACTTTTGTTATTTTGCTTGAGCGACTTTTCGATGGAGATTCTTACACTGTTCGGAAGTGTGAAAGAGTAGAACCAAGTGATATCTTATTGTTTAATCTGCTGCTTATCACAGCTTATAATATATATATGTATGTGTGTGTATGTGTGTATATGTGTGTGTATGTGTGTTTGTGCGTGGGGGGTGGGGGGGTGGGGGGATAAACAGCAGATTAACAATAACATTAACAGATGAAAGTCATGTGTTTAAACGTAATCACGTTTAAGCATATAGTAACACTCATCAACCAAGTCATGCTGCTTACATGCACACCACATCATATCACTATCTACAACTGTGTGTCATTTGCTTCCATCGATTGGCATGAAATAATTAGAAGACCCAATTTCTTATTCCCGCTATCGCCATTCCCGCAAATAGATAATTTTCAAAACATACATATTTGGAACTGGAAGTGCCACATAAAGGTCACATGGTTGTTCACAATACTTACAACCACCCAGCAGTTCGTTCTTCATTAGCTGATGCGTTCAAAGCGATATTATTCAGTAGAGTGGGAACAACGCCAATCCCTAAAATATACCAAGATCCAAGCGCAAACCTTCCTGTTCCAAAAACAGGTCCACCCAGTTTGCTACACTTGACGTTTTTTAGCAAATACCATCTAAGCGTTCTTTCAATTACTCCTTTTATTATGTGTTACCCGTGCCCAGTATATAAAAAAGTGTCTGCATTAGCGTGTTTTAACTGTTTTCGTCATTAGCAAGTACGCAATGATAGGCAACAAAATTATATACAGTCCTGAGCTGCACACACAGGTTTTGGTACTGGCTCTCCCTTGTCTATCTCCCCGGTCCGGTGGTGTTACCTGCTCCCCGCCAGACGAGGGTCGACGCTATGAACAGCAGGGCGGCACAGGACTGGACCCTCATTGCAGTAGACCGCTGCAACAATGGACAAGCACATAATTACAATAAGTTGTATCGTGCGTTAGCTCTGACAAAAGTCTAAAATGTCATCAGTAAAACTGTCGCTATCAACTCCTGTGCACCGATCAATCCCTTCTGACCTCTGTGTATCTTTCTTTATTCATGTGTACCCAGCAATCCCATGTGTTTGTTCCGACCCTATGTTTCGTACTGATAGCGATATTTCGTACTGACCCCTTTGTTTCCTACTGACCAAATGTATCGCACTGATCTATTATATATCGTACAAACCCCTGTCTCCCGTACTCATCTTAATGTATCGTACTGATCCCATATATCGTACTAACCCCTGTCTACCGTACTCATCTCAATGTATCGTACTGATCCCATATATCGTACTAACCCCTGTCTACCGTACTCATCTCAATGTATCGTACTGATCCCATATATCGTACTAACCCCTGTCTACCGTACTCATCTCAATGTATCGTACTGATCCCATATATCGTACTAACCCCTGTCTCCCGTACTCATCTCAATGTATCGAACTGATCCCATATATCGTACTGATCTCATATATCGTACTAAGCCCTGTCTACCGTACTCATCTCAATGTATCGTACTGATCCCATATATCGTACTGATCCCATATATCGTACTAACCCCTGTCTACCGTACTCATCTCAATGTATCGTACTGATCCCATATATCATAATGATCCCATATATCGTACTAACCCCTGTCTACCGTACTCATCTCAATGTATCGTACTGATCCCATATATCGTAATTATCCCATATATCGTACTAACTCCTGTCAACCGTACTCAACTCAATGTATCGTGCTGATCCCACATATCGTACTAACCCCTGTCTACCGTACTCATCTCAATGTATCGTACTGATCCCACATATCGTACTAAACCCTGTCTATCGTACTCATCTCAATGTATCGTACTGATCCCACATATCGTACTAACCCCTGTCTCCCGTACTCATCTCAATGTATCGTACTGATCCCATATATCGTACTAGCCCCTGTCTACCGTACTCATCTCAATGTATCGTACTGATCCCACATATCGTACTAACCCCTGTCTATCGTACTCATCTCAATGTATCGTACTGATCCCACATATCGTACTAACCCCTGTCTATTGTACTCATATCAATGTATCGCACTGATCCCATATATCGTACTAACCCCTGTCTACCGTACTCATCTCAATGTATCGTACTGATCCCACATATCGTACTAACCCCTGTCTTCCGCACTCATCTCAATGTATCGTGCTGATCCCACATATCGTACTAACCCCTGTCTACCGTACTCATCTCAATGTATCGTACTGATCCCACATATCGTACTAAACCCTGTCTATCGTACTCATCTCAATGTATCGTACTGATCCCACATATCGTACTAACCCCTGTCTCCCGTACTCATCTCAATGTATCGTACTGATCCCATATATCGTACTAACCCCTGTCTACCGTACTCATCTCAATGTATCGTACTGATCCCACATATCGTACTAACCCCTGTCTATCGTACTCATCTCAATGTATCGTACTGATCCCACATATCGTACTAACCCCTGTCTATTGTACTCATATCAATGTATCGCACTGATCCCATATATCGTACTAACCCCTGTCTACCGTACTCATCTCAATGTATCGTACTGATCCCACATATCGTACTAACCCCTGTCTTCCGCACTCATCTCAATGTATCGCACTGATCCCATATATCGTACTAACCCCTGTCTACCGTACTCATCTCAATGTATCGTACTGATCCCATATATCGTACTAACCCCTGTCTACCGTACTCATCTCAATGTATCGTACTGATCCCACATATCGTACTAACCCCTGTCTACCGTGTCCATCTCAATGTATCGTTCTGATCCCACATATCGTACTAACCCCTGTCTTCCGCACTCATCTCAATGTATCGCACTGATCCCATATATCGTACTAACCCCTGTCTACCGTACTCATCTCAATGTATCGTACTGATCCCATATATCGTACTAACCCCTGTCTCCCGTGCTCATCTCAATGTATCGTACTGATCCCATATATCGTACTGATCCCATATATCGTACTAACCCCTGTCAACCGTACATATCTCAATGTATCGTACTGATCCCATATATCGTACTAACCCCTGTCTATCGTACTCATCTCAATGTATCGAACTGATCCCATGTATCGTAATGATCCCATATATCGTACTAACCCCTGTCTATCGTACTCATCTCAATGTATCGTACTGATCCCATATATCGTAATGATCCCACATATCGTACTAACCCCTGTCTACCGTACTCATCTCAATGTATCGTACTGATCCCATATATCGTACTAACTCCTGTCTATCGTACTCATCTCAATGTATCGCACTGATCCCATATATCGTACTAACCCCTGTCTACCGTACTCATCTCAATGTATCGTACAGATCCCACATATCGTACTAACCCCTGTCTACCGTACTCATCTCAATGTATCGTACTGATCCCATATATCGTACTAACCCCCTATATATTGTACTCACCTCAATGTATCGTACTGATCCCATATATCGTACTAACCCCCTATATATTGTACTCACCTCAAAGTATCGTACTGATCCCATATGTCGTACTAACCCCTGTCTATCGTACTCATCTCAATATATCGTACTGATCCTATGTATCGTACTGATCCTATGTATCGCACTGATCTGTATGTATCGTACTGATCCTATGTATCGTACTGATCCTATGTATCGCATTGATCTGTATGTATCGCACTGATCTGTATGTATCGCACTGATCCTATGTATCATACTGATCCTATGTATCGCACTGATCTGTATGTATCGCACTGATCTGTATGTATCGTACTGATCTGTATGTATCGCACTGATCTGTATGTATCGCACTGATCTGTTTGTATCGCATTGATCTGTATGTATCGCACTGATCCTATGTATCGTACTGATCCTATGTATCGCACTGAATGTATGTATCGCACTGATCTGTATGTATCGTACTGATCTGTATGTATCGCACTGATCTGTATGTATCGCACTGATCTGTATGTATCGCACTGATCTGTATGTATCGCATTGATCTGTATGTATCGTACTGATCCTATGTATCGCATTGATCTGTATGTATCGCACTGATCTGTATGTATCGCATTGATCTGTATGTATCGCACTGATCATATGTATCTTACTGATCCTATGTATCGCACTGATCTGTATGTATCGCACTGATCAGTATGTATCGCATTGATCTGTATGTATCGCATTGATCTGTATGTATCGCACTGATCTGTATGTATCGTACTGATCTGTATGTATCGCACTGATCTCCATGTATGATTGGCTGATAGTAGGGTGGGACTTGGGTTAGATTATTGCGATGAACAATGTCACTTCGTGTTGTCTGCGGTTGTGTTACTGATTTACGAAGCAGTCTGTGAAGTTATTGTTGACTTATACATTGATACGAATTGGCATAAATATGTATTTGCGTTTACGGAGGTATAAACATAAAAGCCGGTGTGCCGCGCTAATTTCCACAGTGTATCGTTCTGTCCCTCTGTCTTATACCCTTATGTATCGCTATGTAATCCTTTCAAGGATACTCATAAGTAAAAAAAATAAACAAGTGATTTCATCTGGTGTATAAGTGTACTGGTGTATTGAATATATAAAACAAAAACAAAAAACAATCCAGATATTCGTGCTTGTCAAAACAGTATAGATTAGTACTGGCTATTATCTATACATTTGTATTCCATCTGGTGGGTGGGGGGTATGGTTTCACAGTTGACACATGCAGGGAGATGTTTCTTGCAATGGAAAACCTATACATTCGGATATCGCAACATTCTATTCCAAGCAATTGTAATTGCAGGGCAAGTAATTGTTATTAAAAACGTTTAAAACAGATGAACATGGGAACATGTAATTTCAGTGTTTGTGAATGTTGACACGTGGTGTTATGTTCAGATTACAACTGGAGCGCATGACTGACATGTTTATGATATCCTTGGAATAGTGCTGTCAACACTGTCACACTGAAACACATTGTACTCGTCAGTTTTGTCACTCACAGTAGTCTGTTAGACACACACTTCGATATCAATGTTAAAGTAATGGAAGGCCTTATTCCAATACCATTGTTGACTTTATGGAAAGGCCTTACTTCTCGTATACCCCAATACCATTGTTGACGTTATGAGAAGGCCTTATTTTTCATTATTACCCCAATACCATTGTTGACTTTATGGAAAGGCCTTATTTCTCGTTATACCCCAATACCATTGTTGATTTTATGGAAAGGACTTATTTCTCATTATACACTAATACCATTGTTGACTTTTTGGAAAGGCCTTATTTCTCATTATACCCCAATACCATTGTTGATTTTATGGAAAGGACTTATTTCTCATTATACACCAATACCATTGTTGATTTTATGGAAAAGCCTTATTTCTCATTTACCCCAATACCATTGTTGACGTTATGGAAAGGCCTTATTTCTCATTATACCCCAATACCATTGTTGACTTTTTGGAAAGGCCTTATTTCTCATTATACCCCAATACCATTGTTGACTTTTTGGAAAGGCCTTATTTCTCATTATACCCCAATATCATTGTTGACTTTATGGAAAAGCCTTATTTCTCGTATACCCCAATACCATTGTTGACTTTATGGAAAGGCCTTATTTCTCGTTATACCTCAATACCATTGTTGATTTTATGGAAAGTACTTATTTCTCATTATACACCAATACCATTGTTGATTTTATGGAAAAGCCTTATTTCTCATTTACCCCAATACCATTGTTGACGTTATGGAAAGGCCTTATTTCTTATTATACCCCAATACCATTGTTGACTTTTTGGAAAGGCCTTATTTCTCATTATACCCCAATACCATTGTTGATTTTATGGAAAGGACTTATTTCTCATTATACACTAATACCATTGTTGACTTTTTGGAAAGGCCTTATTTCTCATTATACCCCAATACCATTGTTGATTTTATGGAAAGGACTTATTTCTCATTATACACCAATACCATTGTTGATTTTATGGAAAAGCCTTATTTCTCATTTACCCCAATACCATTGTTGACGTTATGGAAAAGCCTTATTTCTCATTATACCCCAATACCATTGTTGACTTTTTGGAAAGGCCTTATTTCTCATTATACCCCAATGTCATTGTTAACTTCAAGGAAAGGCCTTATTTCTCGTATACCCCAGTGTCATTGTTAACTTCAAGGAAAGGCCTTATTTCTCGTTAAAGCCCAATGTCATTGCTAACTTCAAGGAAAGGCCTTATTTCGAGATATCAATATTAACGTTACGGAAACCTCGATTTCCTCACTCTGGTTCAATATCAATGTTAATGTTACGGACACATCTTATTGCTCTCTATGCTACGATATTGGTGTTAACGTAACTGAAAGGCCTTCTAAACTGACGGCCAAAACGGTACCAACATTAACTAATTTGCCACTTTGAAACAAAGATGCCAACCTGTTCAAAAACAGTAAAGAACACATCTCACGAATACAGCCTTCATGTTCTCTGTCGTTCTTTGCACGTGCTTTGCGGATTTTGGGAGATATTGGTGTTTTTCAGCAATTTTTTAAAACATTCTTTCCCAAATTATCGTGCAATTTCCGGGTATAAATTACGCACGGATCTGTTCCCTATCATTGGTTGCGATGATTAACACCAACGAACATGCCAAGACTGACCGCTGTCCAGAGAGAGAGAGCCACAGGTATGCTGCAGGTGTGACCGACACGGAGAGCGGTTGCCATTAACATGAACTGCTCCAAGATGACCGTTACCAGACTGGTCGCACGTCTCCGACAGACTGGCAGAACCGCAGACAGACCACAGAGTGGCAGACCAAAGGTCACGACCCCGCAGGATGACCGCTTTTTACGATTACTTCATCTGAGGAACAGATTTCTTGCTGTGACGTCATCTGTAACGTCAACAGCTTAGGACATCCGGTCAGCAGACAAACAGTGACAAGACGACTACGACATTATGGTCTCCGGGCTTATCGCCCTTTCAAGGGCATGACCTTGACCCGTCAACATCGACGTGCAAGATTGACGTAGTGCAGGCAAACTGAGCGATGGCAACAAAGGGAATGGCTTCGAGTGCTGTTTAGTGACGAGAGCAGGTTCATACTCTTCAAACCTGATGGGCGGACGCGAGTTTATCGACGCCGTGGTGAACGTACGGCTCCCTGTTGTGTCCAGGAGGTGGAACCTTACGGGGGCGGAAGTGTGATGGTCTGGGGCGGCATTTGCGGGGACGAGAAGACGGAACTTGTCATCATCGAAGGCAATCTGACAGCACAACGCTACATTGACATTATCTTACGGCCAGTGATTCTTCCTTTCATCCAGCGTCAACAACGGACGGTGTTCCAACAAGGTAACGCCACACCTCATAAACCCCGTATTACTAGAGACTTCCTCAACGCCAACAACGTGACTGTCCTGCCCTGGCCAGCTCGATCACCAGATCTGTCACCCATAGAACATCTCTGGGACCAGATGGGACGTCGTCTTCGGAAACGTCAACATCCTCCCTTCACGAGACAAGCGTTGATCGTTGCCCTCCATGAGGAATGGAATCGGATACCTGCAGTCGATGTGAGGTCGCTTGTCTACTCAGTTCGACGCCGCATTCAAAGATGCATTGCCGCTCATGGCGGTCATATCCCGTATTGAACGGTCTGGGCCGTCGTCACCTTAAAGTTGTAACCAATGTTGTTAATCGAATACTGGACGAATGACCCCTTGTCAAGAAATTTCCCTGTTGAAGGTCAAGGACTTTGTTGTTGAATTAGTAAATTCGCATTTTACTGTTCTGAATGATGAATTTCTACAATACAATTGTTATTGCCGCTTCAAATTGTGTTGGTCATATTTTATCCTAGAAATATCGTTGGTAACGTCAGTTTATTTCTTGTCACAGTTATATAGTGACGCATATTACCTCTACCCAATCGTCACCCTCGGTACTAACTCAATAGTGACGCACATAAATTCTACCTATCCAATTGTCACCCTCGGTGCTAACTACATGGTGACGCATGTAAACTCTACCTATCCAATCGTCACCCTTGGAACTAACTATATAGTGACGTATATTACGTCTACCTATCCAATCGTCACCCTTGGAACTAACTATATAGTGACGCATATAAACTCTACCTATCCAATTGTCACCCTCGGTGCTAACTATATAGTGACGCATATAAACTCTACCTATCCAATTGTCACCCTCGGTACTAACTACATGGTGACGCATATAAACTCTACCTATCCAATCGTCACCCTTGGAACTAACTATATAGTGACGTATATTACGTCTACCTATCCAATCGTCACCCTTGGAACTAACTATATAGTGACGCATATAAACTCTACAAATCCAATTGTCACCCTCGGTGCTAACTATATAGTGACGCATATAAACTCTACCTATCCAATTGTCACCCTCGGTGCTAACTATATAGTGACGTATAAAAACTCTACATATCCAATTGTCACCCTCGGTGCTAACTATATAGTGACGCATATAAACTCTACCTATCCAATCGTCACCCTTGGAACTAACTATATAGTGACAGATATAAACTCTACATATCCAATTGTCACCCTCGGTACTAACAACATGGTGACGCATATAAACTCTACCTATCCAATCGTCACCCTTGGAACTAACTATATAGTGACGTATATTACGTCTCCCTATCCAATCGTCACCCTTGGAACTAACTATATAGTGACGCATATAAACTCTACCTATCCAATTGTCACCCTTGGAACTAACTATATAGTGACGCATATAAACTCTACATATCCAATTGTCACCCTCGGTACTAACTACATGGTGACGCATGTAAACTCTACCTATCCAATCGTCACCCTTGGAACTAACTATATAGTGACAGATATAAACTCTACCTATCCAATTGTCACCCTCGGTGCTAACTATATAGTGACGCATAAAAACTCTACCTATCCAATTGTCACCCTCGGTACTAACTTCATGGTGACGCATGTAAACTCTACCTATCCAATCGTCACCCTCGGTACTAACTATATAGTGACGCATATAAACTCTGCATATCCAATTGTCACCCTCGGTGCTAACTATATAGTGACGCATAAAAACTCTACATATCCAATTGTCACCCTCGGTACTAACTATATAGTGTAGAGTATCACTCGCTACCTTTACTGTCTTCCCCATGGTATTTACTGTACGGAGACGCGTAAAAAGTTCTTCGTTATCTTCCGTTGGAATGTTGACGTCAATAAGTATGTACTCCACAGGTAGTGACTTCTACTGACAAAAGTTTGATTACCACGAAGTGAGGCAATGAGGTGCATATGTAACATTGGCCAGGTATATTCAACCCCCCAAATAGCTGAAGTGGAAACTAAATAGGTTTTTCTTGGTGACGATTTTGACATTTGCACACCGCAGATCCAGTAAGGGCAGGGGTCGGAGGGGGTGGGGTAACACTTGCAACAGTTGATCCCCTTTCGGGCTCTTATAGGAGCGTAACGTTTGTCCTTAGAGCAAAGGTCATAGGAGACCTGGTAATGTGCTGTTTTGTCTGTTACAGGACTGGGAGTCAATATTAGCACGAGCCCCACGTTCTGATAACAGAAGTATCGAGGCTTGTGTCCCCGCACAGAATCTTCTGTGTCTACTGTCGAAATCAATTCAAAGTCATGCGCTACCTGGAAGCCATATCAGCAAGAGTCACCCAATTGTATGGAATATCACACGATATGCCTGTTCCAGGCTCCCTATGCCCACTGTCGGAGGTAACCATGGTGGCAAGTGCCTACTGTCGGCCACACATCAGAGTTGCTGTTCCGACTATGTCTACCACTCACAGTGTACATGCCTGGACCTCTACTGGGCGAGAACATCATTAAAGAAACAGTCAGCACAACAAATTTAAAAAAACCCATTTATGTCGAATAAGTCTTTTACTTGTGCATGTGATGACCTCATAACGACAGTAGTTTCCTGCAGGTACATCGCACATACCTCTATGATGTATACAGGGGGGGGGGGGGGGGGGGGGGGGGGGGGGGGGGGGCATGCAATGTATGATGAGCGGAACGCCAGAAACAGAGGGTGGGGAGACTGCCAGCCCCACGTGATGATGTTTATGTGAGCTAAACAAGACAGAGATAGTGTTTGTACTACCTGGTAACTGTCAATATTAACAAAAGGCTTCACACGCCTTGTTCTAGTTAGCTGAAAAGATGTTTTCATTCTTCTAACCACTGTTGTGTTGGTGGGGTCTAACCACAATGTAAAACCTTACAAAATGACAGACGTTCTCAAACTACTGCATTGTTGCTCTGTACGGCAGCATTGCTCTTTCAGACACGACATGTTACCTTGTACTACAAAGATGCAAAGAAGAGGGACAAGGGGACATATCACCTTGAACAGGCAGGAAGACAAAACAAGTGCAGAATAATATTTCATTTTAAAAAATATAACGAATACACAAGGAACAAGCGAGCATACAACGTGGAACCTGATATATGACTGTTTATAATTTAGTTACTTTCTCGATATATATCAATCACATTTCGTAGTGGTTAACCTATCGATCGGTTCTATTTATACAGCTTTATCACCGTTATGGCGTGCTGATAAGATACCATGTACCCGTACTTAAAATGTCAGGTGCAATCAACACTTTTGCAGTTAATGCCTAAGTTTCCGTGAATATGTAACTATAAGACATCTAAATTGCTCACCTGAACGCTGCACTTCCTACGGCGTAAGGTGGTGATAATTATACGTAAATTGTTGATCTGGCTGAATTATCCGAGACTGAAACGTGAAATGTTGAGATTGTCCAACTGGTACAGGGCAGCAGGTCAAGCAGATACGGCGGTGTGCGGCGACTACAGGTAGGTAACCCGTGCGGTCTGTCGCCTGTGCCCAACTTAACACAGAACAGTGACGGCGGTGTAACCTACTTTCACTCACATGTAGGCTGCTCGTTAATTATTACCACTCGTTTTGTTATCTGCATATTGCGAATGATTATGAACACATATAGTTCATATTCATTCATATAGTATTCTATGGTGCAGGCTGTGTATATTTAGTAATACTATGTATATGTATCATGATAGTATACGAATTTGGAGGTTTTTGTTTTATTGTTCAATATATATGTAGAATCGATTAGATTTCTCTCGTCTGAGAGGAAGTTTAACTGAGTACATAGTTTTAGGCCCTCTTTGTTATCTCTTGTGTATATCCAACTTCTACTTGTACATATAGCTATCAAGAAGAGCACATATTCCCGTAATAGGAATGAATATGAGAGCTTCAATGTTCATACATCTCCCAATAGCATCGCATTATTCTCCCTATCAAAACTGTAATGAGTTAAGAACATGCATTACCTTTGACCCACGCTTACATATTCAACGAATTATCAGTAGCAGGGAAGAGTCACCCCGTGGTCTAAATTGAATTATTGAATGTTTTCGTATTAATGATTAAAACTTAAACACTGTTGCACGTATCAGTTATAATAATTGAATTAATGAATGTTTTTATATTAATGATTGACGTATAAACACTGTTGACGTGTCAGTTAAAATAATTAAATTATTGAATGTATTTATGTCAATGATTGACGTATAAACACTGTTGACGTGTCAGTTAAAATAATTAAATTATTGAAGGTATTTATGTTAATGATAGACGTATAAACGCTATTACATATGTTTAGTTTGTCAACTTGTTTACGTCTCTAGTCTACATAACTCTTACAAGGCCTCATCACTTTGGAGAAACCTTCGTCATTTGTGATCGGAATCGTTTCTAAATCTTAGCCGACATGAAAAGTACTTATCTCGCGACCAAGTTTACATTTACATTCAGTTTACTCGGTACAGTAGTATGAGTCACTGATATATATATCTTGTAGTCGACAGAACGTCACATGTACCTCACATTTCTACTTCCTTACAGAACATAAAAAACAGAACAAATAACGTCCTTTTACCAAGACGTGTTGTCGCATACTTCTGCCAGATGTGGTACAGATAGATCATCCCCGTGTTAAGCAAACGTTTAACACAGTTACATTGTGATAAAGAAATCCGTAAACTTGATAAATCATCGGAATTTGCTGGAACAATACTCGAGGGAAATGCTCCACCTCAGCCCAGCTTCCGGTCACGCAATTCCGTGGCGCATTGTGCGGAGACCATTGACTGGCCCGCCTGGTCCGCGCTGTATGCATTGTTCCATGGCATGCTGGGCCTGGACAAACAACGGGCCTCCGTTCTAACAAACACCCCATATCTTTCAGAATTATCAATAATCCCGCCATAGATTTCTAAACGATGTTTTACAAGAATATTACAGAACAATCGAGGTTATCTGTACGATTGGTTGCAAGAAAAGTGGCATCTACCCCCTGGACGAAGGATATGCATGGGTTTGTTTGATATGCTCACGACATGTGGTTGCCACAAACATATCATTTCCTGCAATTCCAGGACTGACCTGTTTTCCACATCATGTATACATGCACGCCATGGATGGCCGTGGTTATTATTCGTTTGTCATCTCCTACAATTGGGGGCACGGGTGGCCTAGTCGTCTAAGGCGCCGCGATTCGCTGTGCAGAGTTGCGTCCCTTGGGCACGCCAGAAACCTATGATTGTGGGTTCGAATCCCGGTTCGCCCCAATTATGTTTCTAGGTTTGTCAGCACCATACCCGTGCTCGTGGGTTTCACCGAAGTGGTAAACGTCTGAGACCTGCATCACTTCGGCTTTCCTCCCACATAAAGCTGACACGCCGCGATATAACTGGAATACTGTTAAAAGCGGCGTTAAACCCAACTCACTCACTCACTCTCCTACAATTATACAAGAAGATAATGGCTAATGTTCTCACATAGTGTACTCTATGCACGGTCAGCTAATGCGTGTTACACGTTTTAAAAAGGTCACGAAGAATTATAGGTAAAACATCCCGAGTACAGGAGTCCACAGCCCCATGGTTGACTTGATTGAAGAAGATGGGGTGGTTATTTTGTGCGATCTGGCTCATTGTATAACAAAGTCTCTGACGGTGTGATCGTTGTCCATGCTGTCTACTACCAGCTTCCATGCCCAGACTCAATCAGTCTGTCGTGATATATGTAGTTGCTCACAGTATCAATCATTGGTTTATCGGGGCAAGACTTTATCGCCGAGTGATTCATTAAAACAACACACAATTTAACTTAGGTAGGTTACAAGAACCTAAGAACTGTACCAGGCGAAATAAATTCGAAACATATTTGCGCGCTAGCAAACGTGATTCTAACAACTTTAAGTAGGTACTTCGTTTGTGGTTCAGGTAATGTGCAATGTCACATACTTATGTGTGGGTGTATTGTGTAAAGCGTGAGACTGTATGAGGTATGTGTTGTATTAAAACAAGCACACTCGTCAACAATCCCTCACGACATGCCCGGCCTCTTGTCATATGTCGACGGAAGTGGTGATACATAGTGGTGTCACGTCACATTGCATGCTGATATACTGATGTATTGACGCATATAATCATGTATGTGTATAGTAATACATCAGAAAGTATGTGTCAGGTAATGCATTACGTGTATGTCTTTATTGGGGCATGTAGCAACTGCATTATGAAGCAGTTCCTACACAAAGTACCAAGTGGTGCATTATGAAGCAGTTCCTACACAAAGTACCAAGAGATGTATTATGAAGCAGTTCCTACACAAAGTACCAAGTGGTGCATCATATAGCAGGTGATGCTTTATGAAGCAGTTCCTGCATCGTATAGCAGGTGATGTATAATGAAGCAGTTCCTGCATCCTATAGGAGGTGATGTATTATGAAACAGTTCCTACGCCAAGTAGCAGATGATGTATTATGAAGCAGTTCCTGCACCATATACCAGGTCATGTATTTTAAAACGGTACCTGCACTGTGTAGCTGTTGATGTATTTTGAAACAGTTCCTTCACAGTGAAGCTGGTGCTGTATAAGGAAGCAGTTCCTTCACTGTGTAGCTGTTGATTTATAATGAAGCACTTCCTTCACTGAGTAGCTGGTGCTGTATTAGGAAGCAGTTCCTGTTGATGTATTAGGAATCAGTTCCTGCACTGTGTAGATGTTGATGTATAATGAATCAGTTCCTTCACTGTGTAGCTGTTGATGTATTAGGAAGCAGTTCCTGCATTGTGTAGCTGTTGATGTATAATGAAGCAGTTCCCTCACTGTGTAGCTGTTGATGTATAATGAAGCAGTTCCCTCACTGTGAAGCTGGTGCTGTATTAGGAAGCAGTTCCTTAACTGTGTAGCTGTTGATGTATTAGGAAGCAGTTCCTGCACTGTGAAGCTGTTGATGTATTAGGAAGCAGTTCCTGCACTGTGTAGCTTTTGATGTACAATGGTGCAGTTCCCTCATTGTGTAGCTGGTGCTGTATTAGGAAGCAGTTCCTTAACTATGTAGCTGTTGACGTATAATGAAGCAGTTCCCTCATTGTGTAGCTGTTGATGTATTAGGGAGCAGTTCTTTCACAGTGAAGCTGGTGCTGTGTTAGGAAGCACTTCCTTCACTGTGTAGCTGTTGATGTATTATGAAGCAGTTCCTTCACTGCGTCGCTGTTGATGTATAATGAAGCAGTTCCTTCACTGTGTAGCTGTTGATGTACAATGGTGCATTTCCCTCATTGTGTAGCTGGTGCTGTATTGGGAAGGAGTTCCTTAACTATGTAGCTGTTGATGTATAATGAAGCAGTTCCTTCACAGTGAAGCTGGTGCTGTATTAGGAAGCACTTTCTTCACTGTGTAGCTGTTGATTTGTAACGATGCAGTTCCTTCACTGCGTAGCTGTTGATGCATAATGATGCAGTTCCTTCACTGTGTAGCTGTTGATGTATAATGAAGCAGTTCCTTCACTGTGTAGCTGTTGATGTATATTGATGGAGTTCCTTCACTGTGTAGCTGGTGCTGTATAAGGAAGCAGTTCCTGCACTGTGTAGCTGTTGATGTATAATGATGCAGTTCCTTAACTGTGTAGCTGTTGATGTATAATGAAGCAGTTCCCTCATTGTGTAACTGGTGCTGTATTAGGAAGCAGTTCCTTCACTGTGTAGCTGTTGGTTTATAATGAAGCAGTCCTTCACTCTGTAGCTGTTGATGTACAATGGTGCAGTTCCCTCATTGTGTAGCTGGTGCTGTATTAGGAAGCAGTTCCTTAACTATGTAGCTGTTGTTGTATAATGAAGCAGTTCCTTCACTGTGTAGCTGTTGATGTATTTTGAAACAGTTCTGCACTGTGTAGCTGGTGCTGTATTAGGAAGCAGTTCCTTCACTGTGTAGCTGTTGATGTATAATGAAGTAGTTTCTTAACTGTGTAGCACTGTGTAGCTGTTGATGTATAATGATGCAGTTCCTTCACTGTGTAGCTGTTGATGTATAATGAAGCAGTTCCTTCACTGAGGAACTGGTGCCGTATTAGGAATCAGTTCCTGTACTGCGTTCCACGTGCTGTTATGTGGCAGGTACCGTTGTGTATTCCAGTTGATGCGCTGTAATCTTGGTGATGTATCATTGGCAGTTCCTGCACTGTGTTGCAGGTGATGTATTGTGAAGCGGTGTCTGTACCGTGTAGCTGGCGATGTATTACGAAGCCGTTCCTGCACTGTGTAGCTATTGATGGATTACGAAAAGTTATAAGCCTAACAAAATAAAGAAACAAATGTTAAAGTATTATTAATGTTACTTTTCAACATAATCTCCCTGTTACTCAATACACTTCTCATATCGATAGTAAGGCTTTTCAATTTCAAAGTGTGATATGAGGCACTGTCATGAAGTCGCTGACTCGGGATCACAGTGGTAGACC